AGCAAAAGACTGTCCAAGTGTTTGGGCCCCTACCACCTATGTAAAAGATTCAGACAGATCCTGGCTCAGCCCTGGACATTATGGCCATCTGAGCAGTGAACCAAAGGGGGATAAAAAATGTCTCAACTGCTTTCTCTCCCTCTAACTCTGACTTTCAAACAAAATTACTGAATATTAGGGAAAAAAAGCAGAGAAAGAAAGGTTTTAAAACAAGTGAGGACAAAGAAATTCTGGAGAAAAAAAATCAAAAGTAAGTCCAGGGTACAAAAGCCTTATCAAGACTTTTCAAAGTCAGTTTAAAGTAGACATTGTACAGGTAATGTTCTCACACTCTCTAAGATGAAATATGATTACAGATGTTGGGTAACCAACCCCAAAAATGGACAGAAGAAATCAAGGGGAAACAACATTTGTAAATACAGCTTTTTAAGTAGTTTACTTTTAGAAGCATGATAATGTTCACATACTCAGCCCCACTGCCCCCACCCTTTGATAACTAAGAAGTAGGATGAACTAAAAATAGAAAACAATAATCAACTTAATTTTAACCACATCAACAGAGACAGAAAGGAAAAGAACTAACACAGAAACTGCAAAACAGTACTTTGGATACTGTAAGGCTAATGACAAAATAAACATAGATAAATATTATGCTCTAATTACTAGTACAAACTATTCTAGGGGATAGATGTGAGCAACTGAAACACTACCTAGGACTAAAAAAGTCAAACAGATACATTGTGAATCATGAAAGCCAGGTCTCTCATTGTTAGAAGAAGAAAGCTGAAACATTAAGGGCTGGGGAAAGACTGAATGATTCCTACAGCACTAGAATCAGAGGTATCACTTTAAACTAGTGACTTTTTTTTAAAAGATTTATTTTTTTATTTTCATTGGAAAGGCAGATATACAGAGAGGAGAGACAGAGAGGAAGATCTTCCGTCCGATGATTCACCCCCCAAGTGAGCACAAAGGCCAATGCTATGCTAGTCCGAAGCCAGGAGCCTCTTCTGGGTCTCCCACGCGGGTACAGGGTCCCAAAGCTTTGGGCCATCCTCGACTGCTCTCCCGGGCCACAGGCAGGGAGCTGGAAGGGAAGCGGGGCTGCCGGGATTAGAACCAGTGCCCTATGGGATCCCGGGCGTGCAAGGTGAGGACTTTAACCACTGCGCCACCGTGCTGGGCCCTAAAATAGTGACTTTTAATATATACAAAGAGATGGACACACTTACAGAGATGCATGCACATGTATTCATGCACTGAAAGTCAGGGACAGAAGCAATGATCCCTCAGGAGCAACAAGCATCTCTAGCAACCAGGTTTGGTTTCCAATGGCATCTTCAATTAAAGATACCAATTTCTTTGGGGAAACAGCTATTTCCAGGGTTGAGATAAACCTAGAACACTTCACACTCCCAAATGCAAGGAAAAATGATGGGGGCACACCAAAAGACTCTAACAGCTAATTATGGAACACTTTGAGCAATAAAAGAAAAGAAGAAAATTATCAGCAACAAATTAACAGTAACAGCAGTTACCAGCAACATAATTAAAATGGAGGGAAAGGATAGTTCTTCAAAGGAGTCCAATTCTTTGGCTTTGGAGACACTGGTAAACACAACAATAACTGTCACAGGGAAGAGTCACCAATTCCAATTTGTGCTAAATTAATTGGTAAAAACTTAATGATGAGAACCACCAGGGTATTTGTATGATCTCTGAGAATCTTCCAGCAAGTCGGCTCTTAAGTAACTTGGCAACGTACTAGCTATTCAAAAACACCTGGCCACACCACCGTCATCACATGATGGAAGCTAATAGAAAGCCTGGAACAACGATCACACCTGCTTCTCCCTAACCCTAGATCCTTCCCACCCTGACTATGTAAACATCATCTTTAAAAAAAAGAAAAGGTAACGAGAAAATCAGCATCACTTACATCATGTAAATTTTAATACAGAGTGCTGAGAAAAATTCCACATAACTTCTGTGGTATTCCAACTAAAAATCTACAACTTCAATTCTGAGTAAACAGCGGGCAGGTAACCACAAACTGAGACATTCTATAAAAAATCTAGTGTCAAGGTCACTAAATGCCATTAGCATTATTCAGAGAAACCCAAATAAAGTGTAAACGTGAACTGCTCACTTCCTGGTACTGATAATTATGGTTATAGAAGTTAATATCTGAAAACACAGGCTGAAGACTTTTGGGAACTCTGTACCATTTTAATCAACTTTTTGCAATTTAAAAATTATTTCAAAAAATTTTAAAAACTAGATGCAACAATTTTCAAGAAATAACCAATCAAGAAAACTAAAAACTTTATGAATTAGATGTTTGAAAAACTCCATTGATCAGCTCAGAGAGAAAATACACACTAAAAATACAGCCTAATAATAAAAATATTACAGATAAACACCTACAGCTAACATGGTGGTCAGAAGAAATTCATTTTTAAAAAATATTTGTTTTTATTGGAAAGTCAGATATTCAGAGAGGAGAGAGAGAAAGGAAGATCTTCCCTCTGATGATTCACTCACCAAGCGTCTGCAACTGCTGCAGCTGAGCCAATCTAAAGCCAGGAACCTCCTCCAGGTCTCCCACGCCAGCGCAGGATCCCAAGCCTTTTGGTCGGCCTCAACTGCTTTCCCAGGCCACAAGCAGGGAGCTGGATGGGAAGCAGGGCTGCTGGGATAAGAACCAGTGCCCACATGGGATCCCGGCATGTTCAAGGGGAGGACGTTAGCTGCTAGGCTACCGTGCTGGTCCCGAAATTCATATTCTTATATGATCAGGCTTATATCTCAGCCTGGCCAGACCTGGTTGTTGTAGCCATTTGGGAGTGAAACAGCAGATGGGAAGAGCTTCATTCTCTCTCTCCCTCTCCCCAAATCCATGCCCTTCAAATACATAAATCTAAAAACTAAAAATTTTAAATTATATAAGAAATACTACATATAAGGGCACACACACACACACAAAAAAAAAAACCATGAAGGACTTCAGCTGCTAGACTACTGTGCCGGGCCCTATAAATTTTTTTTGAAGTACCATTATACTACATTGAAAAATATTTAATAAACAGTTGGGAAATCTAGAAAAGTAGTAGTTTTGGAAAGCCAGATTAATTTAGCTATGGAGACTAAGAGCTGTCCACAAAACATTGAAATAACATTGTCAAGCAGACAACTAGAAATGGGTGTTCAAGGAAGCCCTTAAGATTCTAATCCAGGGCCGCACATGGTGGCTCTGGCGCAAAATCCTCACTTTGCACAGGCCAGCATTTCATATGGGCCAGTTTGTGTTACGGCTGTTCCACTTCCCATCTGGTTCCCTGCCTGTGGTCTGGGAAAGCAGTAGAGGACAGCCCAAAACCTTGGAACCATGTGGGAGACTTGGAATCAAATTCTGGCTTCTGGCTTGGATTGGTTTAGCTCTGGCCATTGCAGCCACTTGGGGAGTGAATCAGAAGGCAGAAGATCTTTCTGTCTTTCTCTCTGTAAATCTGCCTTTCCAATAAAAACAAATAAATCTTTTTAAAAAATCTCAATCTAGGGGCCAGCATGGCATAGCACGCCAATCCTCCACCTATCACACAGACATCTCATATGGGAGTTGGTTCTAGTCCCCACTATCCACTTTTGCTTTAGCTCCTTGTTAATGACTTGAGAAAGCAGAGGAAAGTAGAAGAAAGTAGCCCAAAGCCTTGAGCTCCTGAGCTCACGTGCGAGGCACAGAACTCCTGGTTCCCAGCTTCCGACCGGCACAGCACCAGCCATTGCAGCCGTTTGGGGAGTGAACCAGCAGATGGAAGATGTTTATGTTTGTCTATGTCTACATCTCTCTCTCTGTAACTATTCCAAGGACAAATCTTAATCAGAAAACATCCTGAAAGTGGATCACAGTCCCAGCCACAGGATATTTACTCGATAATAGTGTTAAACGGGCCTACGCCCACCAGCTGAGAAAATTCCTAATCAAGGTAAAATCAGATTAAGTAATTGATAATTTTTAATTGGCTGATGGCAATTAACGGAAGTCTTTAATTCTTCTGGCCATGACATTTGTATCCCACATTTTCAGCTCCCAACTGAATTATGTATTCCTTATATATTTTACAATATACATGCAGAAGCTATACAAATATGTCTGTATGCTTGAATATATTCCCACCCTTGCAAACTAACGAAGGGATCAGTGTTTTGAAATAGAATGTTAAATCACAGTGTATACTTAATAGCTATTAAGTATATCTTAATAGCCACTGCCATGTTCCTAAGAAGATTAAATTAATTTCTATCTGTATTCAATAAATGATTGAATAAATTTAATTACTTAAAATGTGAAACTTCTACAAAAGGCCAAAGTAAAATAAGCAAAGTAAATACAAGTAACAAACTGGACAAAGTATTTCAGAGTTATTTCCCTAACATATATATGAAAACTTCTTAAAATTCAAGTTACAACGAAACATGAATACAGGTTATAAAAATACAAATGGTAATAAAACATCTAAATCCACATTGTAATGAAATCCAAATTAAAGAAAAAGTATTATTTTTTAAACATCAAATTGGCCAAAAAAAAAATCAGTAATAACAACAAAGACAATGGTACTTCCAAAAAGCCTGTGGGGAAATGGAATTTGAAAGTTTAGTTTTGTGTAAAACAAAAGAAATTTGGAATCCATGCATAATTTTTTCCTAATATGTCAGTCCATAAACACTTATGTTACCCTTGGGGCTGGATAATCAAGCTCTCTCACTGATTACCAGAAGAGAGGTAAGATGATTCAACAACATGGCATTTGGCCTACATGCTGTCACAAACACTACTACTCCTGGTTTCAACCCACAGGAGAAAAGTGAAGGCAAACAAGTTAAACTAACACAGAAAATATTACCCAATCTTTACTTATTAAGTTTCTTTAAAGCCCATACAAAAGCGCATTCAATTATAATTTGTTTAGATGTATAGAGTAAAAATAAATAATTACCTCTCCAATGAAGACTACTATAACACAGTCCTGCTTCTCTTCAGGATACAGATTATCAATAAGGGAATGGAGAGTTTCTATGAGGTAAGACTTAACTTCTCTCTTCACTGTAGGAATTCCCATTACTATTGAAACTGCAACAGAATAATTTAGTAATTAGAAGATTTCACAAAGAAAAATATACGAAAACATTATTATGAAAGCATTATATTCAAACTGAGAGTACTGAAGGATAATATATAGATATCTAGATATTAAGCTCCAGAAAGCAAAATAATCAAAAGCTCAAAGGCAATACCTATTAACACTGTGAAATTTTTTTTTTTTTTTTGAAAAGCAAAGGGAGAGAGAAAAAAAAACAGAGACAAATTCTATCAAGTGGTTAATTCCTTAAACGCCTGAAACAGAACAAGCTGTGCTGGGTCAAAGACAGAAACTGAGAACTTCATGCAGGTTTCCACACATGGAGACAGGAACCCGAGTATTTGGGCCATCACTGGCTCTCCATCTTCCTAGGCATATTAGCAGAAAACTAATGTCTTTTCCTCATGGTTTAAGAGTAAGAACAAAAGTAAAGGAACTGATAAAACTGAAGACATTAAACCTCACAATGAAAAACAAGTGGCTATAAAGTATAAGCAGCAAATTTTACAATACATCCAAAACTTGCAAACACTAAATATGTGTTAGCAGCTTACAGGAATTTAGCAACTGAGATGGTGGTTAAGAGCCCCATGTCCCATGTCTGAACAGAACACAGGGTCCTGATGCTGACTCCATTTCCTGACTCCAGCTGCCTACTGACACAGACCCTGAAAGGCAGTAACGATGGCTCATGTAGTTGGTCTCCTCCAACTAGGAGAAGCAGATTCAGTTCCTGGCTTCCAGCTTCAGATCCCAGCCACTGCAGGCTTTGGGTAGTGACACAGCACACAAGATCTCTCTTTAATAAGTAAAAATTTTAAATAAAAGATTTGGTGTAACATATAGCAGCTTTAAGCATATTATGCACTTGCAAGGCTACAAGATCACTTATGTCATTTCCTTGTTAAAAATATATAACCTCAATCTAAGTATAAAAAAACCTCAAATTCAAACTTGGGGAAATTCCACAAAATAACTAAATAACTAGCCTATACCCTTTAAAGGCCATGAAATACAAAGAACAAGGAAATGTTCCAAATAGTTAAAAATTAAGGAAACATGACAATTAAATGAAATGTAACATATTGAATTGGTTCCTAGAACAGATTAAAAAGAAATAACGAAAAAAGACAGTCTGAATAGGCACCAATGTTAGTTTACAGTATAGTATTAACATTAATTTCCCAGTTTTAATCTCTAATATGTAAAAACTTCATAAAATCATTTATTATTGTCTAAAACTATAGTTAACCTATCAGTTACACTTTTTTAATGATTTATTTGTTTGAAAGTCACAAAGGCATTGAGAGACAGAGAGCAACATCATCCATCTGCTGGTTTATTACCCAGATGACTGCAATGGTAAGGGTTAGGCAAGGCCAAAGCAGCAGCTAGGTGCTTCTTCAAGCTCTCCCACATGGGCAGTCAAGGGTCAAATACCAGGCAGGTAGCTGCCCTGGAAGTGGAGCAACAAGGACAGGAACTGGTACCCACATGGGATGCTGGCTTTACAGACAGTCACCTTATCCATGAGGCCACAATGCTGGCTCCTACATCGCTTGTTTTGAATTCCAATTTTGTTCCCTCTCGATTAACACATTTGAACAGTTTGGAAACGTGAATTTGACATTTATTGATATGCAATTTGTTCTCTGAGACAACACTTGCTAGGTTAACATCTGAAAATTGCACCCTGCAATTTTCAGAAAGCTGAATAGAACCATGTAGAAACAGACAAAATATATACACCTCAAACACCTACTAGCTTTCTCAGTTCATTCCATATTACCAGCCACATCCATTCATGCTAGGGATTATACCTCCAGTAGGAATTCAGACATCCAACACTATCCCAATTCACTATAACTTAGAGACAAACTTTCTACAGCCACTTTAACAAGCTAACCTCAGGTCTACAGCAGGTCTACCATATTTATAATATTTACACATTTCATAATCATGTGACAGGTAAAACAGTGCTAACATTTTTTACTATGACTTTTTTTTTAAGTTAGAGTTACAGGAAGAGAAGGGGAAGAGGGACTATGTCTTCCATCTACTGGTTTACTCTCTGGATGGCAGTAACAGCTAGGGCTGGGGCAGGCTGAGGGCAGAAGCCAGGAACTTCAAAGGGCCTCCCAGATGGGTGGCAAGGGCCCAGATACTTGAGTTGCTTCCACTGCTTTGCCCAGGTCAGCAGCAGGGGACTACAAGTGGAGCAACCAGAAGTCAAACTAGTGCTGACAAAGGATGCCAGCATCTCAGACAGTGACATTAACTGCTATGCTACATGTCAGCCCTTGTTTTTGACTGTTGTGATCCTAATCACATTTTGCTCACTCCACTGCACAAGTCATACAGCAAAATAACTTTTGAGGAACACATATGTTGTGTTATATAATTGACTATATTCTCCATTAAGTTTTCAAAAATTACTATCTTAAAATCTTAATATTCTGGTGTTACGTATCGATACAAAAATATTTTGTAAAAATATTAAATAAAGCCATTTGTGTCGGGTGAGGGACCTGAGGGATGGCACCAGTGGGGACATGCAGGGATCTGCGGCTTCACATCCAGGCAGACAGCAAGCTAGGGGATTTCCCCACGTGCTTGGTCCCGGGCAGGGTAGGGGGTCCCTGGGTTGTTGGCATGCTGGCCTGGTGTGCTGATGGACTGAGCTTAGGGAGGGTCCTACACCAGCACATATGCCAGGAGCTTTGGACCCTAGTGGACGAGCAGAGCTATAGGTTAGCACACCACCACACCAGAAGATTGAGTTTTGGAAGGCTGGGCTGGGAAACCATGCACTACCAGGCACAGGGACTGTGCACTGATCAGGAAAAGGGACAGGGAATGTGTGGGAGGGAGGATTGCTGAGGGAGTATGTTACAGGTGAAGATTGACTTCCGAGGGACTTTAATTGACAAGACCACTGTGCTTCCAGGTTAGCAAGGGGGGCTGAGACCAGGTGATTTGGAGGGGGGAAGCTGGAGGACCGTTATGTGCCAGACAGATGCACCAGCACACACGGGAAATCTGAGTTGGGCTAGTTAGCGTGGATCACCACCAACCACCAATGTACACTAAAGCCATATAGGGCTGGAATTCTACCTGAAAGGGCTAGGTCACAGTACCTGCCAGTCAAAATCAGAACCAGGGGATAGGTAATGTTAGGTTGGGGCATGATACTGACCAGCACATGAGAGAACCAGGTCTGGGGCAAATCCTGTGGAGGATATGTATGCCCACCTCTGTGGAACTGCATTTTCCAATGGTTTACTTATGTATTGGGGTTAGTGATGGGCTGAGCTAGGCATGACAGTGGAACCCTTATCCTCATGGGTATTTGAGTAGAGAACAAACTGCACTGGTCGAAGTTGTAGCACCAGCAAGCAGACCCAAGAATACAGTGTGGAGGCAGCCGGGGCCACAATATCCACTAGCTCAGACACAGGCCAGGACAGAGGAGGCAGACTATGCCAGCTAAGGGCCTAGCACCCACCAGCACCTATGTGACCTGGGTCTCGGAGTAGGGCTGTTGGGGGAGCGTGGGAAACCCCTGGTGGGCCATAACTCCTGCTGGTGAGCATGTGATTAGGCCTGAGTGTTGGTAAGGCCATGTAACATTACTCCACCTGTCAGAAAGTGTGTAGTTCTAAAAAGGGGCAGACCAGGCAGGCCTGGGCCAACCTTAGCCCACTGGCATGTGCGGCAGCCATGCTAGAGTGTGGGTCACACAGGGCTACACTATCACACCTACTGGTTTGCATGAGCCAGGGACAGGAATAGAGAGGGCAAGAGAAGGTTGGGCCAGGTTGCAACATCTGACAACAAAGGCCAAGACAGAGGATGGGCTATGCTAACCTGGGTCAGAGTAACTACTGGCATACATGAGATCTGTGGCTGGGAACAGGCCTGGTTGGGTTGTGTTCTCATTGTTGAGTGTGAGAGCTAGAATGGGCTGGCGATCTTGGCTAGACATGACAATAGTGTTCCTTGGCATGGATGTGGATTAGGTCTGGGGTGCATCAGACTGGCCTAGACTCCAGCACCCACTGGTGCTTGTGAGAGTCAGGGTGGGTATAAAATGGGCTGGCCTAGGTCTCAGCTCCCACTAAACCACACAAGAGCCATTTCTGGGCGTGAAACAGGCATGGCTGGGCTGTAGTACCCAACAGTAAGAACCAGAATGGGTGTGGACCAGCTGGGCAGGGCCACTGTTCCTGCCAGGACAGGAGGAGTACTAAGTCAATCTGGACCAAGGACCCACAGGTGTGCATGTGCCACTGGGAAAAGACCTGATACAGGAGCTTGGGGAAGTCCTTGTCAGGATACAGCCCCTGAAAGTGAGCCAAGAACCAAGGCTGCAAGCAGCCCAGACTATGCCAGGTTACAGTACCCATCAGCATACGTGTGGCTCAGGTCTGGGGTCAAGCCAGGCTGGGCCAGTTCATAACACCAATTTGCAGATCTGAGAACCAGAACAGGATACAGGACAGGCCTAGCTGGGCTGCAACAACAGCCAGTCACATTAGGGCTGGGACTGTGGATTGGCAGGGCTGAGGTAGGCTTCAGCACCCACCAGCATGAGCTTGGATTGGGGGCATACTTGGCCGGGCCAGGCCAAGCTACAGTACCCACAGGCAAATACCAAGGTGAGGTAGGCCATGCCAGACTGAACCACAGCTCCCACGGACACACATGGGACCCAACAGAGGGGGAGGATGCATGCTGCGTAGGTAGACTGCGGGTGCTCCCCTGCTGGGCCACTGCTCCAACTGGTGACCATGAGAACTTGGACCTGGAGCATACTAGACTAATAATTTCTACAACATCTGCTGCCCTGCCTGTGATTGGGTTAGGGGGAGAGCCAAGCTGAACTGACTATACCCATTGGTGCATGCAAGCCAGAGTGAGGACAAGCTAGTTGGGCTTTGCTGTAGCATCTGCTGGCAAGTTCTGGGACTGGAGCAAACTTTGCCAAGCT